CTGACCCTCTATGAGCAAGATTATTTTTATTTATATATATGTTTTATGTTTTTAAAATAAAATTTCTTGATTTGGTGATTTTAATAAACTTTGGTGCAACGTTTTGTTGTTTTTGAGAAAATTATAACATTTACATGAGTCTTCAACAATACTTGATAATGTAAAATAATCATTATTGTATAGTTTGAAATTATGTTTATAAACTTAAATTACTATTATAATAATACTTTGACAATATAAAATTATAATATGCAACAATAATTTTTGTACAATTGTAGTTTGAAAATGTACAGATTGATATCCATGTAACTTAATATATTTAAAAATATATATATGCTGTAATTATTTCTTATTTTAGTAAGATTATTAGAAAATTATTTATTGTTTTTTGTTATTATCGGTTTTAGGCTACATGTGCGAAAAATTCCTTTTGGTTGATAGTAACTTAATATCAATAACAAGTTAGTTTTTATAACTTTTTGAAGATCATTATAATTCGTTTCTGTTTTTTTTTTCATAGCATAATGTTAGGAAATAATTATTTTTTAAATAATATTGTTAGTTTTTTTAACACTAGCAAGATAAATAGAACCGTTTTTTATTTTGTTAGCATAATGTCAGAAATGATCGTCTGTTTTAGATAACACTAGGATTCATCACCCCCACACAAGCGTGTACGGTAACTATTTTGTTACTTTTAGCATTCTCACACTGTTTTGAAAATTATATATGTAGAAACAGTTAAATGAAGCTGTACTAAAGAAACATAGACACTGTCTTTGATATTAATCAAAGACTCATAATTTTTGTTCACCAAGATAACATAGTTCTTACCACTGCAATTAGATATGCGTTATTGATTGTTGTTAGCCGATGCGCCACCACCACTACTGTGACTAAGCATCTAAAGCACTCGTTGCTTCATCCAACAGCAACACCTTTAGGGTCTTTAACAATTGCTCTGGCTATAGCTACTCTCTAGTAATTGAACTCCTCTTTGACCCACCATTGTCTTAGCTATTAGCCTTGCAACATCGTGCACACAAAAAAAAAAGCCTTGCAACAGTGACTACTTCTTTCAGTTTAGTTTAAGCCTAGGAATTATGTTGCACATTCGATCCGTTTACTTATTACCTCGAATTTGCAGGACTAATTTCAGAACAGGTAAAAAGAAAAGAGAGAGTGAGAGAATTACATGAATGACAATTGGATTGTTGGAGATGATCGTTTATGCCTTCAGCGACATTATCATCTTTTCATTATGGAACCAATAACTCAACTGGAAACATTCATATTTGCATAAGCTCAACATGAACCATTATAGGGATCACAACTGTATAACCAAATCATAAGAAAGTAATTTTATTATAATATTAGACACTAGGATAAGACATGCGCTTTACGCGGGATGAATTTATATAAAAATTATTTAAGAAATATATTCTGGAAAAATTAAATTTATATTCTTGATTGAATTAATATTTTTTGGCCCTTAATTTTCAAAAGTTATTTAATTACATAATTTGTTTATTGATGAGAATATCTTATTTTTAAAATTCTTTTCGGTCAAAAATTCACTTATCGCATAAAAACCTAACGTTTAGACCGAAGAATCTGAAGCCTACTTCTTGGTTACGATGAAACTATGTCAGCTCAGTTTTATATCATAATTAAGCAATTCAAAAGTTAATTATGGTTATGAAAAGTTTACGTTCACGTACCAATCCTAACTATCTTCGATACTTTTCTTTTTTTTCGTTTTTTCATTTTTGTTATTGCAAGATATAAATGTTGATTTTTAGCCTTCGATTTAGAAAAAATTTAAGATTTAAAATTATTAAAGAGATATATTCTTAGGTTAAGATCCGCGCGTGGTGCATAATAAATATTTTATATTTATTACTCTCTCCGTTTTGAATTAATTTTCATTCTGAAGAAACGAATTCGTTTCAAAATAAGTGTCTTTTTCAAGTTTCGAGACAAAATTTATTAGTTTTATATGATATTATATTTTTCTATTGGTTGAAAAGTGGTTAGGTGTATAGATAATTATGTTTTTTTCTTGAAAATATGTAAAATTATATGTTTCCTTAATCTGTGTGCAAAAACGTAGAGTGACAATTAAAATGAAACGGAGGGAGTACTAATATTATATTTTTCTACATATTATGAAATTATAAAATAATAATTAAATATTAAATAACTAAGAGATCAGTTCCTTTTATGTAATAATTTGGCGTACACACATAAATCAAACGACCGCTCTTGTTTTATTTATTTTTTTGTCATTAACATAAACATGTTCTAAGAAGAGCCTATAAACCAAGCCGATAACTCTGCTCCATATGAACAACAAAAGACTATTGTTTTCTGGCACTCCACACCAGGCTGTCCGCCTCTTTGTTGAGAGTTCTTGGGATATGAATGATTGCTGAGTAGGTGAAATTTTGTCGAAGCACCTTTATATCTTCTAAATAATTTGCTAAAGCTGGCCAATCCTCCGGTGCAGAAACCATCTTAACCAATTGAATACAATCTGTCGCAAACGTAACGTGATACTAGCATAAATTCCTCATGCTTTCCATCACCCAAATTAGCACATATACTTCGGAATATAATGGTGAAATACTCACTCTCGTATTTCAGGCTCCCATAAGGCTCGCAAAGACCGGTATCGTGCTATACCAACGACCGCTCTTGTTTATTCACAATCATTTTAGGGTAAATATATCAAAAAGATCAATCTTATCTATCATATATGATATATAATTAAATTTAAATGATATTAACATAGAAATATATACTTTAATATCGTATTTTTTAAATGGGATTTCTGCTCATATGAATTTATGATTATTTGTATATTTATGTAACAAAATTTTACACCAACGAAATATTTTTAATGTGGAAACTTTAGTGGTTTAATAATTTATAATCATTTTAAAAAAAACAATGAGTTTTAAAAATTAAAATATTAAATTTTCAATATATGTTCAATGCAAATATCAAATATAAGTATTTATTATCATATGATGTATAGTTTAATTTAAACGATATGAAATATATATATATATATATATATATATATATATATATATATATACACTCCCTCCGTTTCAAATTAATCCATATCATAGAAAATTTCCTTGTTTCAAACTGATCAAATTTTTACATTTTCAATGCAAGTAATAATGGTAAATAGTAGTTTTGAAGAAAATTAATTGTTTTTATTTAATTTTGATTGGTTATCACTTATGAGAAATAATTAAACACAAAAAATAATACATTTATAATCAAAATTTAAGAGGTTTTCTTAATATGTGTGATAATTCTAAAACATATCTCTTATTGAAGCAGAGGGAGTATATATATATATATATATATATATATATATATATATATATATATATATATTAACAAAAACATCTATTAAAATAATAAAATTTACATATGATTTTATAATCATTGTTAATTATTTTAGAAAAAAATTAAACCTTGATCACACAAGTTTTTGTGAGATTTTTAACAATTTTAGAAATTTATATTGTTTTGAAAAAATTCCAAATAAAACATATACAAAAAAATTAAATATTTATTATATGATTAATGTAATTACGAAACTTATTTTCATAATAAAAATTAAACAAAAATCATAAAAAGTATACATATTGTTAGCAAATATTTATTATTTAAAATCATTAATTGTCATATATATCTTAAGTACATTATATAAATGAATTGACTATAATAGACATACTATATAATATAATATTTCCTATCAATTTTATTTTGGACTACAAAATTCTCAATTGATTCTCATACCGCCACGTAAGTAAAATTAGCATTCTAATTACACGACAATTTAACAAAGCATTTTTTAATTAGTACAAAATACATGTTATAATTTTTTAAATGTTTCTCAATTAATATATAGGGGATTAGCTCGTGCTATTAAATTACAGAGACACCTTAGACTCTAGCTACTTCAAATTTCTGGTGTGGGCTCATTTTCTTACTTATACAAAGTTAATCTTTATTGGTCGATCCATCTGAAATAAACTTCACAGATTAGCGTTCCAAGCTAAGACATCCATCAAAATCATGTCCACATAACAAAAAACATGATGCATCGAGGAAAGAGAATATCAAACCTCAATGAAAGACGAATGTAAGATCTTATTAACCTTATTTATTGTGTTCCAAAGAGATTTTAGTGGTCAGTTCACCATTAAAATTTTTTGTAGTAGTTTTGTTTTAACGCCACTGGTTTTCCATACATGTGGCAATCAGTAAACAAAAACCAAACTTTTAAATGATAGTGATCAGTTCCTGTCGAAATTGGTGTGTCGTGCATCTTCTACAGGGGATCAGTCTGAAGTATTTGTATACCATCTACAAAATCAAAAATCAATGTGAAGCATTAAAAGAAAACCCAAAAATGCATCAGTTTAACCAAACATTTTTCTACACTACCTTGTGCTTTTCGCCGTGAACTTAGAAGCAATGTTCGCCCAAGAAATCAATGGAAACCTCCTCTCTCTTTTTTTCCAACTAATCTTGTTTTCATCTAATCTTTATCTGCAGCAAGAAAGATTTTCTTTGACTAACGTGGCTCACCAGACTCTGCCTTCCTACCAAAGAAATCAGACTTATGAAACTTACAAAGAAAGTCTTTTGTTCGTTTCCTATGATCTTCCTTCTTCAAGAAGTCATGGATTAACCTGCCTATCAAACTAAAACTTAATCATGGATTAACCTTTTCAGTAATCCAGCACTTCTCTCCTGTTCCACTAATCATGGACTGTGAAAACAAAAGCCTCTGATTACTTTTCAGATTCAAGTAATCAACATACCATCAAGAGAAATCACTAATCAAACAATCTACTAGCTTCTACGAAAGGGACACCAGAAGAAAGAAATTATAAATAAATAAAAATCTTTGGCTCAAGAAGCATTAGACAGTAATTAGCTAGTGAACCACTTGAGGGATCTAACTTAACTTCTTGATCTGGTTGCTCGTTGTTGTAAGGCATACCAGGCGCATGAAAGATTTACATAAGCCTTGCCTTTAGAGAATTAGCAAACCAAGCCTTCTCTTAGCTATATTAAGAAACCAAAAAAAAAAAAAAAAAAACGAATTTCTGTAGATCCAACCTGAAATTTGGTCAGAACTTGAGGCATCAATGACCTCAACCCTGCCATTGATCTGAAACTGCTCCCAAGTATCTGAGAAATACCAACACAGCTTTAAAAAAACAACAAGCACCAGTGTCAAATCAAAGTGGGATTAAGGTAATGTAATCCAAACCAAGCTTAAGAGATTACTCACCTCAGAGGACGGACACAACTTAAGCTCTTGAATCTGTAACGAAATAATAAAATCACAACACGCAACAGAGCCAACCTCAACTAAAACGATGCTAACACAATAAAAAAAAATGTCTGACACCTTGCGACTACGAAGATTGGTGTTGATTTGAATCATGTCACTGTCCTCTTCAAATCCCCTAACCAAACAACACACCGCCGGAAAAAAAAAAAGATTCACTACACAACCAATCAAAACACGGAAACATAGCTGAAAATAACACAACACAATAATATTGATTGCCATACATCAAAGAGATGAGAAGATAAACTTTGCAGATTAAGCAAAAGAGACGACCAGTTCAACTGTGAAAAAAAGTGGAAGAAGGAAAACAATGACACCCTAATCGACTAAAGCACAATACGCAGCGTTTACATGATGTACTTTTTTTTACTCGGAAATCAGATCATCCGGGGCCAACAATATGCTGACGTGGATATCTTTAGGAGAGAGCAAAAATTCTCTATCATATATAAGACTAGTTATTTCCCGTGCTATGCACGAACATAGTATTTTTGGCATAATATTTTTTATATAGAATTGTTTATCTTGTAAGATATTTTTTGTCTTATGAATATCATTATAAGACACTTCATGCTAGTTGAGCACTTTGTGTGTGTTTATATACATTTATGTCCTCTCATTAACCCACTTGAGTTTAACTAAACCAAAGATATGTAACTCTAGTTACTTTTTCCTTTTCCCAAATTTGAACGTAGATCTACTTGAGTTTCGATCTATTTTTCCCTTCCCCAAATTAAAAAACTCTAATTTCACTATCTATCTCTCTCAATTTCTTGTTCGCATACGACCCATCGAGATCTACTTTCCCCTTGCCCAAATTGGAAACCCTAATTTCAGTATCTATCTCTCTCAACAATGGTGAAAGGGAAGCCAAAGAAGAAAATGAAGACTTCCCACAATTCTGAGGATCTACACCCATCGGAAAACACAGCCGGTACTTTATAAACTTAGATAACTTCCTTTCTTTCGTTGTTTGGGAAAAGAAACTTCTTCTTCTTCTTTTATGTTTTTTTCTGAAACTTCCTCTGTATCTTTTTGTTTTGTCAAAAACTTCCTCTGTATCTATTTGTTTTGTCTGAAACTTCTTTTTTTATGTTTTAATTTCTCTGCATTTGGCCAAAATTAGGACCCTTGCAACCGGATCTCCAACTCCCGCCGAGACTTTTTGCGGCGGATAGGTTCCCCATCAACAAGCTGAATATCTACTCTTCACCGCAGATCCTTCATTTCCTTCGACATCTTCTTAGAGATACTCCAGAGTTTGAAACCATTCGCCAGTCTCCTTTTGGAAAGCTTTTCGACATTCCAGCTCGCCAATGTCCAGTATCTGCAAAGCTAATTCACTCTTTACTCACTCGGCAGCTTATTTGTCTTCCAATACACACGCTTTGGTCTGCTTTTGGTGGTAGCCCTCTCCGTTTTGGTCTCGAAGCTTTGGTACTGTTACTGGTCTGCATTGTGGATCTTTCCCTGAAGGATATCATCCCGACCCTGCTCAAAAGGTTGTTGTGGGTAAAGATAAATTCTGGAAGAGACTTTTTGGGAAGAAGATGCTTACTGTTGCTCAACGGTGCCAGATGCTTGAAAAGGAGAAGGACATGTCAAGTTGGAGGAAGATACGAATTGCTTTGATCATCATTGTGGACGGTGTGCTCATTGCTCACCAATAAGAAGCACGACCCACTCCTCGATATGTTAGGATGGTTGATAATCTGGAGACCTTCTTTGACTTTTCTTGGGGTAGATAATCATTCTTAAAGACTATCTCATGCATGAAACCACCCAAGCGAGAGCTCCCCAAATGCCCTGATCATGTTGCTACATTGGTTCGCAAACTCAAGCAGCACTCTTTCAGACTTCAAGGCTTCCTGTTGTCACTTCAATTGTTTGCATTTCGCGCAATACCCCATCTGCTGTCTTTCATACCTAGTACACTTGACCAGGAGACACTCATGGACCTACAAGATGGTTATTTACCACAACACCACTCCATCAATTACAGGGATATCCACCGAGTTGAGTTCTCCCCTGATGTTAGTAAATCTTGTCTTACATTTTAGAAATTTATATGTACCAATATTGATTCATTTAATTGGGAACTATCATCTATTTCAGCTTGCTGTCTCACCGATTATACCTATTGAAAGACAACCACAGCCCGACTGGGGAGTGTGGTCTAATGACCCCAAGGGTGATAGTGTCATTTACATGGAACAATTGATAGATGATCAGCACACTTTCAACAAAGCAATGTGGCCAGGTGGTGTCGCAACGGAGCCTTTCATTACATAGCCTAAAGATCATTGTAAGTCGAGAAACCGGAAGAAGCCCACTCGTATTAAGCAATCTCTCAAGCCAAAGAATGTCATCAAGAAGGAGACTTCTTCAAGAAAGCAAAGGCGCATAACTTCCTACTTCTCGACTGATTCTATCACTAGTTTCACCAATGCACAACTCTCGGTTATGGTCATCAAACTACAGAAGCAGATGAAGAAACTCCACAAACTCTTGAGACTGAAGAAGAGGAAAACTCATGCAAGGCAAACATCTTTTCATACAAATATATCCCGTACGAAGAAGCACACATCTCATATCCCAAGTGATCAGGTTATGCTCAATCTACTTTCCCATTACTGGTGATACTCCACACATAATTTTGGTGGTTTTCAGGGTTCTAATTTGTTTTGATAATAAAGCTTGTATTACAATAAAAACCCAAGCTCTACTTATACTCTGTTTTCTGCTTTTAGGATGTTCTTGAAGCACCACGCAACAACGATCAACCTATTGATCAGGTGAAGTTCAATATACACTGTCCTCTTCTTATAGACAAAGTTTGTTCTTTTGACCACAAACTTTTCTTAGAAACAATTCTTATCCTTTTAGGATGTCCCCGACACATTTCATCAGAGTGTAGAGCCTGAACATGTAACACCACTCCACCCAGAGCCCCCCCAATGATCAGGTCTTGTTCAATGAAATCTCTCCCAAAACATTACAACCATTTTCTAACACTGAACTATTCCTTATACATTGCTATTCCTGCTTTTAGGATGCCGCAATGGAGACAGATGATACTCCTGGAAGCCAGTCCCCTATTATAAGTCAGTACGCATCACATATCCACCGTCAGGCAACAGAAATCGTACACACACCTCTCAATTCGACCATCCACACACCCACTATCCACGAATCTATTGACCACAGCAACACTCCGGTCCACACATCACCAGTCCACGACTCTTTTGACCACAACCACGACTTTGTCCACACTTCTTCTGTCTAAACGGCGCAAGTCCACACACCACCTCTCCAAACACCAACTGCCCACGGTGCCACAGTACTTCTTCCATCACACAACACTGAGATGATCACTCCTGCTAGTGAGGAACCAAATCACCCCAACTCTGTTATCTATGATAAAAGTGATCACCCAAACAGCCCCGAAATAAACCACATACTCTGTCATGGAAAAAGGATTTACGACCCCATCAGCCCCGACCCAACTTTCTCAAACCCACCTATTTCCGACTCCTCGATTGGTCCATCCTCCCCTCAAGGCTGTCATTTACGATTGTCACCACTCCCTTTTACACCACTTACCTCTCCCACTAAGAGTACTGATAGTGGTTTAGGTTTCGCGTGCCACGCAGCCACACCCAATGCTTTTAAAGCCACAGCTTTGTCCAAGTCTCCACCTTCCATAGAACGTACTGCTTCTGCTGATGAGGTACGTTTCACACATACAGTCCCACCATAATATATATCTCAATATATATTCACCAACATTTTATTTAAATTTTCTTTTCAAAGGAAATGGGGACACAGGTTAATGAGGATGGGCTGGTCGACCTCACACTCACAAAAGACCCATCCAGACATGTTCCATATATGGAGGAGAACTATCTTGCGAAGGAATTGATCAGTTCTCCACTTATTCCTGCTCTAGCCCTCATCACCCCACTTCCACAGATCCAATGGGACCTTTTCCACAAAATTCTTTCATCCAACATAGACGTGTGAGTTTTACTAATATACAACCCCTTCAATCACCTTTTTACATAGTTGCTCACATGCTATAGTTTTTTATATGTATCACAGTTACCACACAACCCCATCTTTGTATGAATTCTCCAACAAATTCCTCCTCCAATTAGCGAAGCCAAAGCACTGGACAATAAGCTATGTAAGCCTCACTTCTCTTTCTTGTGTTTCTTATTATCTGACCAGACACTAATGTTATTTTAAACTAATGTTAAATATATTTTTAATGTCTTCAACAGCAAATGGAAATCCTTGTGCACATGCTCTCCGAAAGACACTCGGACATACTAGACAGGGAAAAAACTGCATTCGCCTCACCCATCTTACCGGCATCTATCCTCAGCAACTATGCCAAATTCAAGTCCTCTAGAAAGAAAAACACATTCACTTGGGACCAGAAGGTTTTCGACTTTGTTCTCCATCCAGGGAAGAAGTGGATGGAAGATATCACCACCATTTACACGACTATGATGTGGAAGGAATCTCATTGGGTTGGCCTAGCAATCAACCTTGACATGGGGTATGTAGAAATACTTGATCCTCTTCCAGCTTTGCATGGAGACAGACGAGTGGAGCGGTTTATGCAACCCTTGGTGGCTTCGCTGCCTTACCTTGTGAAGAAAGTCGGTATGTGCGACCTAACACAATTCAGTGGACTCAAGCCCTTTGTCTGGAGACGCATTCCAGACCTTTACACCAACACTCGATCTGGTGATTGTGGACCCGTCAGCATGAAGTTCTTAGAGATGCACGCCCATGGTGACCCAGCCCCTCGTATGAACAGCATCACAGACCCAATCGTCGACGACATACGAAAGCAGTACGCAATGGACATCTACAAGACCATAGTCCTGCCCTCTTACTATGGACATCTACTCAGGCCTAGACGTTAATTACCAATCTCCTCCCATCTTTTGTGTAATATTTTGGAGGTTCCTTCTGACTTTAGTTGTATGCTTTTGATGCGATGCTTGCCAGTCGTGGCAAAAACTATACGCTAGTTCAAGACTTATCTAAATTTCGTAATGTTTTCTACTGTTTTCTATGAAGAATGTCCACCCAGGTAATGAGTTTCTCGTCCACATCCATGGACAAACCTGAACACATACAAAGTTTTTTATTTGGTCCACATCCATGTACCATCCTCAAAACAAAATTTGGAAAGGCCCAATAATAGCCTCAAACAAACCCAATATGGGCCTTTATTTTTTGCTTGCCATTAAGTCGGAACTCCAATACACATTCGATTCAGTATAGTATCCTCTCAAAGATACATCCCTACCCAGATCCGATATCATCTTCTCAAATAAGCTTCCCTACTGCTTCTTATTCTCAATAAACTTCCCCTCTCAAACAAACCAACTTCGACATGAGCTCATCTGATTCTTCGTCGACGGTTTCTTGTTCTCACACAGGAAGACAGACCGTTGGCATCCCCACTCGTTGTTGGTGTGGATCAAAGCTGACTATATTCGGCGCTTCAACGAAGGAGAATCTTTTCCGCAGGTTTCATTGTTGTGGAATCGGCGTCAAGGTATGCTCCAGATCCATTTCTTAATACACTCCTATCATCTGTCAACCAAATTTACTTTTTTTTAATTTTATTTATGTTCTCATTTTTTAGAGGAAAACAGAGCAGCACTTGTTCAAATGGGTTGACGAGGCCATTGTTGACAAGATTAGCATTGTGGATGCTAAACATTGTCACCTAAAGGCAGATGTGGACTCTTTTAAGAGTTACACAACACAAACTTTGGAAAAGCAGGCAAAGCACCTTGATGATGCCCTCATACAAATCAAAAGGCTCCTGGATGACCAAACTGCTCGATCTGGGACTAACAACAACTCAATTTCGGGCACAGATGATACTTTGACGGCAAAAAACCTCGCCCCCTCTGGAATGAAGCCAAAGTCACCAGTGATCACCATAGCAGCTGCAGCAATCGCACTAGGAACAATGGCATGGCTGTACACCAAGCTCAGTACCTAACTGGTCAACTCCACCTCTACTACTAAAGTTCACCTATCCTTCGTTCTGAAAAAGCTTTGTAATATGTTATGGCCTCCAAAATTGCTTCGACCACTCTACTGGAGTTTTAATGTTCACGATATTAGGAATTAACGTTGGTGGACCTTTTTAGATTATTGCATCTGGCTAAAGTTATCTGTTGTATCCATTATCTTATGTCTATGTTTTAAAATTGAATTCAAATGGCTAAGATGTTGCTTTTTAAACAATTATGCTCATGTTCTAAGAGCAATAAGAAGCTCTACGAAAACAAACATGTACACGCCTAAATTAATAAAACCTGTCCACATCCACTTTCAAAAAAACACCACCAAACACAGATACATTGCTCTAAATTTATAGTTTCCAAAAGAACTACAAGAACAACATACATAAAGTCCTCATCAGGATTAAACTCCAAAGAACATCCGAGTTTCACCAAAAAATTCCCTTAATTGTTTAAAATAGACTAGAATAATCATGCCATTGACAAACTCCAAAAAGTGTTTAACCGTCACTCCCAGATCGCCGATAAAAGGATACCAAAATATGTTTCTAAACTTCCTTAACCCCGTCTATGTTGGGTTGGTGCAATTTGTGCGGTTGTGTCCAACACCTCTACACCTACCACATCTGTTATGCACCTGTTTCTTCTTTGGGACCTGCAACAATACAAATATACATTCAACCAAACAATAACTTCAAGGTAAAAGCTTTTCTAGTTACCAACTCACATGTATCTCCCCCGTAGAAGGTATGCGTGTCTTGCGACGGCGGCCAGCTTGCCTTTTTGTGTTAGGAGGGTAAAGGACCACACTGCTGACATCCTCAAGTATTTCAACATCCCTTGGATCACCCTTTAGACTGATCACACCTGCATATGTCTCTCTCCACACTGATGTTTTGTACCAATGCCCACACAATGTTTCGTAAGCCACCCCTAATCCGTCAGCTGCAAGCATAGCATGGCCACACGGTATTTTGATATCATCAAAATACTTACAACTACACTTTTTCTCAGATAGCATTACTTTGTCTGATCTGCCAAATTTTCCAACAATCTGGCTGCTCCAACTATCAACAGCATTTATCATGCTTCCTTTAACAGTGACCATGTTCTTTGTCATCTTTTTGTCCACTTCCAAGCTCACAGCACCTCTGTGTTTCTCTGCCTTTTTCCTCCTAGCAGAAAACCATCTCGTCATCATGCTTTGTATGTATTTAACCAACTCAACAATGTTGGCCCCCCTACCTTCCAACAGTGCATTGTTCAACTGCTCAGCAATATTACTAGTCATTATGTTATATCTATCTCCGGGGAAATTTGCTCTTGACCAACGAGCAACACCTATTTTCCCTAAAAAAACTCCAAACTGTTAGTCGCTCTTATTTTCCCATAAAGCTCCTTGAACTCTCGAGGCATATGCGCCACTGATGCGGCAGTCACCATCTTAGCTAAGTGTTTACTTGAAAACCTCGAGTTAACATTCCTTTCCAAATGAACTATGCAAGCTCCATGCTTTGCTTGAGGATAGATCTTACTCACCGCATTGGCAATACATAAAGCCCTGTCAGATATTATTGCAAGAGTGGGAGAATCCCCGAGAATCCTCTCAACTTTTTGCGAAAACCATGTCCAAGCATCCTCATCCTCACTATCCACAATCCAAAAAGCTAAAGGAAATATTTGAAAATTGGCATCCTGCCCACTAGCCGTCAATAGAACACCTTTGTACTTGCCACTAAGATGTGTACCATCTATTACCAAAACATGCCTTAGCTTCCTAAAACCACTCAGCGAAGCGCCAAATGCAAGAAAAAGATACAAAAAACGTTCATCACCATCTTCATCGATGTCTATTTCCAAATCAGCAATTGTACCAGGATTTGCAAGCTTCGGCATGTGAAGATACTCAGGAAGTTTTAAGTAGGAGTCCTCGTCTGAACCTCGCATTCCCAGCACCGCCTTTTCCTTGGCCTTGTAGCACTTCATGTAAGAGGCATTTACACGAAGGTCCTCCAACAACAGTTTATGCAAATCCCTAGCTACGGGTGATTTCCCGGGGTTCCCAAATTTTGCTTTGTATACTGCTGCAATAACACGTGATGTTGCTCTACTCTTGTATCCCTGCCTGAACTCTATTGGGCAAACATGATCAAGTTGTGCCTTCCTTATCTGATAGTAACCACACCCTCTAATTTCATGTGCTGTAACTCTCCAATCACACCTTTTATCAGGACACTCCACAACAAAATAATCAATTTTTTTCCTTGTCTGCGTGAACTTGAATTGCTTCTTAATAGCATAAATTGCTAAAGCAATCTGACAATCCTCCTTACTCCCAAACACCTTTCCAACCGCTATTTGGCTATCACATTCATCCACGTCCATGTCAGGAATCTCAGCAGCATCATACTCTGTATCATCAAACAATGACGGGATATCAAATTCTTCGTCGTCAACATCCGCAAGCTTACGTGTTGGACTAGCACTCATGTTAACACATCCAGCAGCTTTGTCCCCACCTCCAATCCAAGGATTATATTCCTCGGCATCTCTGCTTTCCCTATATCAGAAACTCCCTTCTCGCAAAAGAAACTCTGAGGCCCTGTTTTTTTGTTCAACCCTTCAACGATCTCATCCTCGTTGAAGACAACATCCACATCATCTGAACCGCCATAATCCCCATCTAGTAAGGGTTTCCAAAAGTCTTTGTCATAACTTCTAGGCCTCACTTCAATCTCATTCAACTCACCTTCCACATTGCCTTGTTCCTCCGTGTCCAAACTCGTGCCACTTTCATCCAAAACCTTCCTACTTTCCCCTTTATGACTCTCCCTCATTAATTTTTCTTCCAATGACTCTACTTGACAGACAAAATCATCATCATCAGAAAGGTTTACAACCTTTGTCTTCGACACAGCAGAGGACACATAACCATTCTTACGATTCCCGGAAGAAAACTTAGCTGCATTTAGCGAAACAAAACCCATACCAGAATCGTCCACAATCTCTGTGTCCACGTCCATTGTTTTTAGTTCAAATTTAGCAAACAGATTCATCCCACCTTTCACTTTCAGATGTTGGCAAAAGTACTTCACAGCACCGTCACTAGTTATCAGAACAGGTGGTGTCCGAATCCCAGTTGCTAGCTCAATACTTGTTGGTGGCCAATACCTCAATGAAACACCAAACCATGACTCATCCACTCTAACTTCGCGACACACATTCTTTTCAAGCTCCAAGTAACCAATACCCTCGTATATGGGTACCATACGACCCATCCTCTGCTTCTCTACGACAAAATCCCATTTTCCTCCGTCTCCACATACCCACTCACCGCTTAAAACCAAACATTGCTCATCCATCGCAGAGAACCTGCTTCCTTAATACACCAAAAGAAAAAATATTCAACAAACAAGTTTTTAAACTTAGGATTTAAACTTTAATCTACAACAAAACCACCTTTCTCCTACAAACAGCTGCAGCTGGTTTTTCTGTAAAAAAGAACAGCCCGAGAAAGAAGAGTAGACACCAACGTAAGACAGCATTTATTTTCAAAACTTACTTCTTCCCTTGTCCGTAGATTTGGAAGCATCCAACGGCTGTTATCTGTCCCTCTTCTCTACACACCAACCATAATAAATTCTTGTAGGAAACATATTTGGTCCCCACAAAGCAAACAACATTTTTAATTAATAAAAAGCCTTCTATTTTCTTGTCTCCCGTAACCCAACCTTAACCCGAGAGGGTACAACAGTCTTCACACCCCATGTGGAAGAGTAGAAAGTGTCCAGCAAGTTGAAAGTGTCTTATTGTGTAGAAAAAGAGAAATAAGTGTCCCAACAAGAAACCGACTCTTTTATATATTTGTTTTTTATAAAATTACAGTTAAAAAGGTCATTTTGAGAGTTATTATTAATAAATATAAGAGAGAATTTAAAACTGTTATAAAAATATTTAAAAAGAAATAAAGAACTATATAAAAATTGAGGGAACTCAAATCTTTGGCAGAGAAAAATTAGTAACTAGATTCTTTCTCCGCGCTACGCGCGGATTATGTATTTTAATATTTTATTTCTTAAAAAATGTTTTTTTACTATTATGTCCATTGAATTTATATTTAATTTAATAAACTATATGTACTTTTATTATTTTATTATTGAAAAATCAATTAAAACACATCAACTAAATATCGTTAAGTTTTTTAATACCTAGATTTTTTATTATCCAATTTAATACCTAAATTAATTATTTATTCATTTTAATACACTTAAATTTTAAAATGTACTCATTTTAATACCCAGATTATTTATAAGTTCGAATGAAAATTTAAAAAATCTTCAAAACTGATCACAATAAATCTAAAAAATTCTATTTTTATTTTAAGTTATAGGAATAAAGTATCTAAATTGTGGATAATATTTAAAACTATATTATTAGTTGTAGTTTACATTTAAAATTTAGTTTTCTTTCTGAAGTTTAAAATTAATTAATTAATTACTTTACATAATTTCTAAATTTAAATATTTTATCCACAACTTAGTTACTTTATTCCTAAACTTGAAATTAAATTTGAAAATTTCAGATTTATTTTTATTTCAATGTTTTTGAGTTTTATTTGGAATATATTTAAAGTTTTGATTAAAATGAGCATAGTTTGGGTAGTAAAATGAGCACATATATTAAAATGAGAAAATAATTAGTAGAAATATTAAACCTATATCAAATACGTTTGGGTATTAAAAATCGTGAGAAAATTTAGTTGAGGTATTTTTATAGGATTTTCTCTTTATTGTTTGGAATATGATTTTTTTATTTTGCCACTTATTTTATGCTATTTTAAAATAGGATTAAGATTTAAACTTTAGAAAATTATTACCTTAACTAACACACCAAAAGATGAGAAATACATGTTATTGTTCTTCTTTGCCATGTACTCTGCATATTTAGTATTTGGTGTAATGTTGAGTTTTTTTTT